ATCGGCATGAATTTGCCACACTTGTTTTGCATTCAACCGTTAATTACGGTCCTTTCAACTTCACAATCATGGCTAATGATGGTGGGGAAACAGAGAACAGTAGAGTCAGCAGACCTCATTCTGGGAAGAGTGGGAAAGAAACAATACAAAACTGCACCCACCCACTGTTTACAACTGAGACTGCTACTCTGGGTACCATTTGGAGGAAATCAAGGCTGCCCAGAAGCCTGGAGTTTTGGAGATGAGACAGCTGGGGGAAAGTTTTACTACTCTAACAGAAGGAAAGTCCTTTAGGGCTCATCCATCTATAGTGGAAATAGCTCAGAACCACATCTCTCATGCTACAGTGAAATTCAGACTGTACTCACACTTATTTAGTACCTTTCAGTATTCAAGATTTTTTTCAATTCACTCTCAAATAAGTATTTCTATTTTATAAATGAGAACACTGAGACTTAGAAACAACAAGAAACAAGTTGTAACCTCATTCATTCATTCATTCATTCATTCATAGAATGATGCTGAGTATCTACTATGTGTTAAATATTATACTCAGTATGGAAGATACAGCAGCAAACAAAACAGAGTTCCTACCTCCTGAAGCTTAGTCTAACAAAGGAGGCACACACTATGCAAAAACAAGTGCAATTTAAAAACACTGAGCATTTTAAAGACAATGAACAGGTGAGCATGCAAGTGAGTACTGGTGTGGATGAATCTTAGATAACATAGGTAGGGAGTTTCCAGAGGATGTGATATTAATGATGAAGTCTGAAAAATGAGAAGGCATTAGTTCTTCAAGGAATAAATAAAAGAGATTCAGGCAAAATAACACTTGTGTGAAGGCCCTAAGTGAGAAATATATCTTGGGATGTTTGAGAAATAATGTCTTAGAAAATGATCACGAGAAGAAGGGTGGTTCAAGTGTAGCAGGCAAACCCATATCTGAAGTATAATGTTAAGTCTGTATATGAGAGAACAGGAGATAGGATGGAAGAGATACAGAAATCATGCCATGTGAGAAACAGAAGTAATTGCATATTAAATATCAATAAGAAACGGCCTGGGTGGCCAGGGATGGTAGTTGGTGCTGTCATATTTCTCCAAAAGGCTGACATAGGAAAAAAGATTCGATTTGTTCAAATCAATACAAGATCTCAAGTGGAGAGAGTTAAGGAGACCAAATTTGCCTTTGCAGAAGAAAGAAAGTGCTGGTAATTTTACCGGCTCCCCAAAGAATCAACTCTCTCTCCAGAGAATTGCAGCAGGTCAAGCTGAGGCTATATAATGACCTGCCAAGAATGCTTTATTGGAGATATCATGTTGATTTCTAGTATAGTCTAGATGACACTTCAAAATCCATCCAACTCTAGAATGCTACAGATCTCTAAGATAGTTGTATTCAAAACAAATGGTTACAATATGGCCTGAACCACAAGGAAGTGAGGTACTTAGAATTCAGCACCAAGGACAGTGCCTGGCAGTTGGGAGTGCCCCTACTATTCAGACAGAATATTATTTCACACATTTATTTATTTTTTATTTCTCCCCTACTAGAATGTAAATGCTATGAGGACAGGGAGTTCTTTGTCTGTCTGGCTTACTACTTTATTCCCAGCACTTGGAAGGGCGTATTTTATTTTTACATATAGTATGAGCTTGCTAGATGTTTACTTAATCAGTAATATCTAACTCTTTTAAAAAATATGTTTTTATTGATTTTAGAGAGTGAGGAAGGGAGAGGGATAGAGAGAAACATCACTGAGATAGAAACATCGATCGGCTGCCTCCTGCACGCCCTTTACTGGAGATTGACCCCACAACCTGAGCGTGTACATTGACTTTGCCCTGACTTTGGAATTGAACTGGTAACCTCTTGGTTCATGGGTTGACGCTCAACCACTGAGCAACACCGTCAGGTTAATATCTAACTCTTAATTGCTTACTTAAAGTCACACAGTTAATATGGTTTTGTGTGTAGGCAGTGTGATTGTAAAGGCTGAATATTTAGCCATTTAATATCCATAGAATAAAGACATCTGAACCCTAAAATTCTTACCATGCTCTGACTGAAACTTGCAGGTAAAGTTGGGAGTAATGAACTTGATTGATAGTGAATTATTCAACTGGGACTACAACTACCCTGCAACAAATGGCCTTTATCCTTTCATGTAACTTGTTTTAATTTAATATAACTTGGCTTCATCCTTTGTTTTTAATCTTCCAGTACCAGGGATTTGCTGAATTCTGGTTTTTACTTGACCCAAGGTATATTTTCCACCTATTTTGAGGGGAGGAAAGCACTACTTTAAAAAAATCAAATCTAATGCATTTGTCTTATTTTATAGTTGCTTATTTTTATGTTTACTTATAATTTCCTTTGTTTCTCCTGCTTTTCTTTGTAGGTTGTTGTTTTCTGGCTTTTTAATGATAGTTTGGAAGACTGCCTTTATGTTTAAAAACTATACCTTAAAAATTCTTGGTATCAAAAATAAAATAGCAGTATTTATTTCATCTTGTCTAAAGTGGAAAACCTAGCAGATTTTTATTTAGTCTCATAAATCCTCTAACTCTTTCTCAGTTTCTATTGACATAATGGTGAACTGCAGACCCAGATCACAATTGTTATTATTTTACATTACACATCCTGTCTTTAAGTATTAGTTTTTATATTAACCTTCTCTTTTATAACATATTTGGAGCAAGTATTTAGCATCAACACTATATATAATTAGTGTCCATGCTCACTGTGGGTCATTTTATCCCATATTTCTCTACTCTTGATTTCTTTATTTTGATTCTTTGCTCAGCCAAATGCTCTTTGAATGATTTATTAGAAGCGGGGCCTGTGGGAGCCTGTGGATACTGAAAATGTCTTTCTGATGTATTGGCACAAGAACAACAACTTGGCTGATAAGGAATTTGTGGGTTATACCATTTCGACTCAAAAGTCCTCCAGGCTTAGCTGCACTGTGTGCTTGCTTTTTGATGTGGAGAAATCTGAGAGGGGCCAGGCAGGGATTTGTCAGACTGAGAATAGCTTTTCTGCTCCTATGACCTTTTCACACAAACCCTGTTCAGTAAAACTTAATACTAAGTACAGTAATTGGAAGCAGTGTGGAATCTCTCTCTTGCCAGAGAAATACAACAGCTCCACAGCTTTTCCTCTCTGTTCCTGTGAGGCCAAGTGCACCCTCAGGACATCTGGCCCAAGCACCTTTCTGGTTCCATTCCTGCTTGTGTGTCATTACTGCAAGTCTTAGATCCAAAAGGGGAGTACACATGGTGTGGGCTTGAGAGCACAAATAATTACTGCTTATTGATGAGCAAGGCCTTGCTCATCTTGGAAGGAGTAGTAGAAACTGGTTCCTAGATCAGCTAGCTGAAGAGTGGGGGGACTTCATTCCCAAGGGCAAAACCCCATGTCTTGAGAAGGGGACTGTGGTGTGGTGTTTGGGGAGCAGAACCTCCAGAAGCCCTTCTTCCTCACCTGCTCTTCTGCTCAGGGCCGAAAATGCTCCTCTTGGGGTCCAGTTGTCAGTGTTTGGGTTCTATAGTCTGGGTCTCTTGCTGGGTTCTTATGAGCATCGTAGTAGGAATGTAACAGAGTATGAATTGAGTACAACTATTACTCCTCTTCACAGCATGCAAACCCAACAGCATCTCCTGACATGTTGCCAAGAGCAGGAGAGCCACGCCTTCCCAGAGCTGTGCTGAACCAATAAACTGGCCGTTATGGGATGCAGTGAATCAGGAACAAGGTGGGCCCCAAGATACTTCTGCTTATCTTCGTGTCCCCCCCTCAATACATCCGTGTTTCATGCAGACGGAAGACCAGATGGGCAGGTGGAAGGCAGTTTGGCTGCTTCTCTTTGTAGCTTTATACTCTATGAGAGGAGTGTTGCTTGAACCAGTAATAAATGTAGAACTGAAATACCAATGTGGAATTTAAATGGGTCTGTGGACATTTTAAATGTTAATTAGCTCCTCAACCCAGGTTTCTCACAAGATGATGACTGCCACCAGAGCCTGCACAGGCTCTTCACACGTCACCAAATCTGCTTTGGCTCAGCTTCCCCTTCTCCAGCCGCACTGGGAGCATGGCACCTGCTCCACTCCCTTGCATCGCTATAAGGGCACATCTACATAACCTTAGTATGAACTATAGAGGCCTAGCATATATCAGTTGTTCATTATAATTTGTTGAATAAAATATATTAACCTGGAGTATGTCCACAAAGGCATCCTAGAGAGAAAAGATAAACTTGTGTCATAAGAGGGACTAGCGATATTGAGCTTGCAGAAAATAAGACCAGATGGTTGTGTTGTGCAGAGGGGAGACGGAGAGTAGGAAAGATCTTCTGCAACGGAAAGACTACCACCTGAGAAGGCGATTGCATGGGTTTTATTGGTCCCCAAGAATATGGACCAAGAGCAATGCATAGAAGCTACAATAAAATATATATTTTGTCCAGCAAAAATGCTTGACACACAAAAAAGGTTACCCTGTCTTTGGGAGAAAAATATATTTTCTAATGGGATTAACAGCAATAATAAAGGAGCTAGTATCCACTGATTAACTAAAATATGCTTATACATTCACAGATACCAAATTGATAGGTATTTTATAGATGAGGAAATTAAGATTCAGGCCATGTGATTTGCCCAAGTGAAACACCATTTTTTTTTAAATCCTCCAATACAGGGATCTACAATTTTTTTCTGTAAAGGGTCATATAGTAAGTATTTTAGGCTTTATGGGGCAGAGAGTCTCTGTGTCAACAACTCAGCTGTATGGTCGCAGCATCAAAACAGTCATGGACTATATAAATGAAATGTCAGTGCTGTAGTAAAGACAAAATAAAACACCCTATTTGCAAAAAAAAAAAAAAAGTATGGGGCTGAATTTGATCTACACTCTGAAGCTGCACTGCCTTCTCATATGAGAAAGGACAAAATAAAAACAAGATGAGCAATGGCCTCCATGTGGCCATACTTACCCCATTGGCTTTGCTGAGTGCTTGGAAGTAGATACTGTAGCTTTTCAGAGGGGAAAGAGGAGGGTTCCAGTAGCCATTGTATGTCTTGTTGTCACCCACTGTGAAGGGCTGTGTGACAGGCAGGTTGGCGGGCTTCAACTCAGCAGCAAAGTAGTGCAGAGAATCCAGGCTGGAGGCGTTCCTATAGCTCACAGGCACCGAAAAGCACTCGATGATGTCAGCTGCCCGCCGTGATTTCTGAAGTCTTTCCTCCTTGACAACCAGCTGGTAAACACTGGACAGGATAGAGAAGAGGAGAATGAATTTTACCGGGTGGGATGAACTTCCTAGTCATTATCATCACCTCTCTCTATAACTAAACCTCCCTCCTGGGCTCCAGACTTATAAACCACTGCTTTGTAGAAATCTACCTCCATTTAGATGTCCCAAAGCCAGCTCACACTGGATATGTCCTTAAATGCAACTCTTCCCTACACACCCGCCTGCTCCCCGACATTTCTTCCTTAGTGAAGGGCAGTGCTGCCCATCAAGTGACCAGATCTTGCACATGGGGCACATCCTCAATTCCTACCTCCTTATACTTCACTCTACACCTCGAATCAATAAGCCCTGTTGACTTGACATCTGTAATCTGCACTTGCTCCTCCGCCTTCTCCTCCTCCCACTCATAATTCTGAGGATGGGCACTTATCCACCTCTTACCTAGACTCAACTGGTCTCTTTGTCTCTAATTTATTTGATCAACTAACCAGTCAATCCATTGATCTTCCTAATCATATAGCAGTGTCCCTTTTCAAACACTGTCATAAGCTGTCCATTATTTGAATGACACAACCAAAACTCCCCATCTGGCATTTGGGACACTTTGTGCCTGGCTTCGAGTCCACCTTTTGGAAGTCTGATCAAGGAGAAGAGAAGAAACAGCACATACAAGTTGTGCAAGTTTCGTGGCCCTAACCCATCCACTTTAGGAAGCAGTATGGGAAGAAAGAAAAAGAAAGTGGGTATTATTTTTGTTGATTGTAGTACCTTCATCCCATTATCAGTGCCTTGAAAATAGATTTATCTAAGCTCTTTTTACCTCACTGGCAATGATAAAATCATATCTAAGTGAGAATAACCCCCAAGAGTCATATTCTAGTGCAAAAAATATGGTTGCAATAAACTATTTAAAGTTATTTGTAAGTTAACAGGATTTTTTTTTCTGTAGTAGAAAAATCCTGATAACATGAAAGAAGAACTTAAAATGCTCACCTCACAACAGAGTATTTACTCACCCATTTTCCCTCCTGTGATACCTTCTCTATTTCTCCCAATCAGAACACTGACATTTATGATCATATTTTCTGCATGACTTAACCCAGGGACCTCTTCTTTTAGGGCCCTGAAAGCTATGCTGCAGCCCCACCTCAATGCATAAGGTCAAGGAGAGTTTGAACCTTCTGTCACCTCCTGGTTCTGGCATCCTCGCTGCAGCTCACCTTCAACGCTACAGTGACTGACACCATCCTCGTCTCCCCAGCTTTTCAGACCCAGGCTTGCCAGCAACTTTCATCCTGCAGTTTCAGTGTCTCCTGAGACAAGAACATTCTACTCCAGTCCCAAGTCGCAAGACCCCCCGCCCCTAGAGAGGACAGTTGCCTCAGACACCTTTAAGAGCAAAGCTTGCAGGAATTCCTCTGCAGGCTTTAGAGAAGCCTGCCTCTAGACCAGCCGTGGGCAAACTACGGCCCGCGGGCCGGATCCGGCCCGTTTGAAATGAATAAAACTAAAAAAAAAAAAGACCGTACCCTTTTATGTAATGATGTTTACTTTGAATTTATATTAGTTCACACAAACACTCCATCCATGCTTTTGTTCCGGCCCTCCGGTCCAGTTTAAGAACCCATTGTGGCCCTCGAGTCAAAAAGTTTGCCCACCCTGCTCTAGACCGTCATGCTTCCTCCAATTCTTGAACTAATGGTTTAGATGATCACTCCTGCTTCACTGAGAGAGATCAGGGCCCTATCAGACCCATCCATCCATCACTGACACACCCTGTGGCCCCCTTTCTATATTTAGTGAAGATGTCTCCAGTCAAGGGCTGTATGCGTTTAGAATGCTGACATCAGATGATAGAGAGTATACTGTAGCTCAAAGTGGAAGGCTGCCTGACTTCGGAAGGGCACCTTTGGGCTCATGTTCTCCCAGAAACAAACTTGTTTTAGTTTCAGTTCTCCCAGAATCAGGCTCTCAGCCAAGGTTTCAATGAAATGACGTGTTGCTAAGGAAGTGGACCCAGGAGAAGCCAGTAAGGGAATAAGGGAGAGAAGAAAGGAGGGAGCCAAGCAGGAATGTGATTTCGGGCAAAGATCCAATCTCTCAGCCTGATCCTATGGGGAGCCCTGGAATATAAACTGTACCTCAGAGTTAATCTCATCTCAACCCAGGGCATTTGGGCCTCCAGTACCAATCAGTGAGTGGGTATGTACTCCACTGCAGAGACAGAAACTCCCAGGCACTCCCAGTTCATGTGGGGGGCAGAACAGGTGGCTTTGGTAGTCTAATGGGGAATATTGGAAGAAGGTCAGAACTGAGAGCCATTCGCATCAAAGCACATAGAAGCTGCTGATCAGCACCCACAGTGTCCCCTACAGGGCACATGCGACTTGTGTAGGAGCAAAGATCCAGGTGTACAAGGTGGATTTCAACCTTTGTTTCCAGCCCCACTCAGCTGAGGCACATGGGATGTCCCATCGTTCACCACTGATTATTTTCTTGTATGATTCCATGTGTTCATTTGTAAACTTGTTTTACTTTTATACTTGTATAAGAGCCACAGGCAAGGAGTTATAAATATGTAAAATATAAAATATCTAAGAAATTATAAAATTAAAATAGTTCCAGTCCAGTGGGAGTCCTGCCGGGCAGCTCCCACATCCTTTAGTGGCTCCATTGGTCACTGTGCCCACCTTCACTTGCTGGCACTACAAGGTGTCCGTGGCTTACCTGTGCTCTTTTTTAAAAAAATATTTTATTGATTTTTTACAGAGAGGAAGGGAGGATAGAGAGTTAGAAACATCGAGCAGCTGCCTCCTGCACACCCCCTACTGGGGATGTGCCCGCAACCAAGGTACATGCCCTTGACCGGAATCGAACCTGGGACCCTTGAGTCTGCAGGCTGACGCTCTATCCACTGAGCCAAACCGGTTAGGGCTACCTGTGCTCTTTTTACCAAGATTGTAGCCAGGCATTTCTCCAAAGAAGAAATTTAGAAGGAAATATCTGGATATTGAGTTAACTCATGGCTACTGTGATTCCACTGTTCCTATGCCCATACATTGGACAGAAAAAAGAAACATTTTTTAAACATCAAAAATTTATACTGATTGTTCAGACTGATATCGCCAATTCAAATCCAAAAACACAAGAGTCTTCCTCACCATCCCCATTCCACATTTGTTTTTCCTTTCTTTTTAAAAAAATTTTCTTAAATTGATTTTAGAGAGAGCGGAAGGATAGGGAGAGAGAAACATCAATGTGAGAGAGAAACATTGATTGGCTGCCTCCTGCAATTCAGGCATGTGCCCTTACCAGGAATGGAACCAGTGGCCTCTCAGAGCATGGGCCAATGCTCAACTCACTGATCCACACTGGCCAGGGCTATTTTTCCTCTTCCCGACAGTGAGAACCCTCATTTCCAACATCAACATTTTCACTCATAAACTCTCTCACACAATACACACAAAATCGTCAGAACTAACTCATCAATGCCACAACCAACCTTAGTACTCACGAGTAAAGTTTACAATTTCTGCCCTGCCCTGCTCTAGCTCCTTCCCAAACAACTCAGTCCCAACCCATTAGGTAGGGAGGAACAAGGCAGGTACCTGTATGTGAAGGGGGAAGCCCTGTGGGAGCGGAAGCCCACCCAGTGTTCCTGACACCTGTTCACGTGATTTGCGAGGTCAAAACTAGTTTTAGAATAACATTAAGACATTCTTTGCCTTTTGCACATTCAATCTCTCACAAGGGTACTGTGGAGTTCTTGCATAGCCATAGGACTTCATGACCGCAAGAGGCTGAATTCCCTCCATTTACTTCAATCAAGCAACATAATGCAATAGTTTGAATGCAAAAACAGATATAGAACCTAGCAGCCTTCTAGTCCACTGGACGCTAGAGGTTAGCAAAAATGTAAAACAATGCTACACTTCTCACTAAATCACTAAATCAAATTAATTATTTTCATAAAAATATTTTATTGATGCTAACATGGGCTCACTACTATTATTTTCAATGAAATGATTTTTATTTAAAGTTTTGTTAAATGAATGAATATTTTAAGATATTTCTCAGTTGCGTTTTCTAATATGGTAAATTGATATATAATATTAAGTATAACTCACGTAAATTAAACTCAAGATTTTAAAAATTTTGTTTGTATCCTTTGACTACCAATCAACCCCAGCAATCACCAATTTTCTTTCTGTTTCAACGAGTCCATTTCCTATGAGTTGGTTTTCCAGTATTATTGAGGTATAATTAACAAATAAAAATTATACATATTTAAGGTGTACAATGTGAGGCTTTGATATATGTATACATTGTGAAATGATTACTACAATCAAGCTAATTAACCTACCCATCACCTCACATAGTAACCATTGTGTGTGGTAAGAATATTTAAGATTATTCCCTTAGCAATTTTCAAGTATAAAATGCAGTATTTACAGTTCTCCAGAACTTATTCATCCTGTACAACCCCTGGACCAACACCTCCCCATTTCCTCTACCCTCCAGCTTCTGACAATCACCATGCTCTATTCTGCTTTTATGAATTGGACCATTTTAGATTCCACATATAAGAGAGATCATGCAGTATTTGTTTTTCTTTGTCTGACTTATTTCACTTAGTATAATGTCCTTCAGATTCATTCTTGTTGTTACAAATGGCAGGTTTCCTTCTTTTTTTAAGTCTGAATAATAATCCATTGTTTCTTCATACCACACACTTTCAATTCCAACATGGACACAGGATTCAAGATCAATATACAAAAAGCAATTATACTTTTATCATTAGCAAAGAAAAATCTGAAAATGAAATTAAGTAAGCACTTTCATTCACAATAGTATCAAAAAGAAGGGAGAGGGTAAGGGGGAGAGACCAACCAAAGGACTTGTATGCATGCATATAAGCATAACCAATGGACACAGACACCAGGGGAATGAGGGCATGAACGTGAGTGGGGGGGGGGCAATGGGGGAATAGAGACACATATGTAATACCTTAAT